CCACACTTTTCGCAATTCTTACAATTTTAACCAAAATTCAAAGTCTTTGCATTTTTAGTCCCTTTTGATAAATAAGGCCATTTTAATCCATGAAATAGGTTCATTTACGTTTATAGCCCCTATTTTGATAAAACTTTCCATTTCAACCCCCTTAAATTTGATTTTTCGCATATTTGGGCCTAAATAGCCGAAAAGCCCAAATTTTAGCCCGTTAGGCTAAAATTTACATTTTTAGTCCTTTAAAAAGCATAATATTTATAAAAAGTCTTATTTTAGCTGTTTTGACCTTTTGATCCTTGTAAAAACCGTAAATGACATCTTTTTCCCCATCTTTTGTTTATTTATCAAAATAGTCCAATTACAAATTTTATGTTGTAGTATGCTTGTTATAACCTTGTATGGTAGTTTATCTTGACATGTTAAGTGAAATATATCCTAGATCACATATTTTTACTTTTTGAACTATAGATCTCGGAATATCTTTCATTTTTAGCACATATTCACCACATAAACTTAAGAAATCACACATAACATACAAATACACATAGATCTTCATATTTTACTTGTATTCTTCCCCATAAATCATATGAAAACCGAAAATAGAGGGGTATGAACTCACCTTGGGTTTGTGGGTTCGGCTTTGAATAGAAATGGAAGAAGTTTCGTCTTTAGTAAGCCCTCCTTGAATAGATCTCGAACTTATGGAGGTTTTCTAAGAGTATGATCACAAAAATGATTAGAATGAATGATCTTAGCATAAGAATGAAGTTATACAACTTAGAGGTGTAAGGAATTACCAAGGAAATATGAGTTTTTGGTGGTAATCTTCTTGATCCACCATAGATCTTCGAAAATTTGTGAAGGAGATGAAGCTTTTCTAAAGAGAGTGAGATTGAAACAAGTTGATGAAATGTGTGTGTGTGTGTGTTGTAATCTTTGGCCGTGAGTGATAAGAAGAGTAGGGGAAGAGAGATATGAGTGCATGGGAACATGAGATTTATCTTAGATATATGTTGGATAATCCCATAATTAACCCCTAAACAACAATGAGGTGTCATGGGCATTTACTCATTTTTTTTTAACTTGGTTCGAGAGGGGGTAAAGGAAAATAATGGTTTGGGCCTTTGGTGCTTGAGTCCATAATATGAGGCCCAATTTGATGATTTTCAGCCCATTGGGCCTTTATAGTAGTTCACGGTCCAAATCTTGCATAAAATAATGGATTTGAGTCCATAAAAGCTAATTGGATTTGTTGTGGCCCAATAAGGCCCATTAAAGATAAACAAGTCCAATTTAGGCTTATAAGGCCCAAAAAGGTTAAGTATCATGAGAATGGGTCCAATGAGAGCCCATTTAAGAGTTCTAAGCCCAAAATACTTAAGTTGGAAGTTTATTGGCCCATTAGGCCCAATAAGGAAATCCTAGTCCATATTAGACTTAAACCGGGATTTCTAGGGTTTCCAACCCTTTGTTGACTATTTGAGTGTTTGTATAGAGTGCTTGATGGATTTTTGTTGTCATTGAATAAGCATCATACATGCTTTCAAGTTTTAGTTACAACGTTATCCTTGTTAAGTGTTTACAAAGCATCAGAATTCCTAGTTGTGACACAAAATCTGGTAGACCTTCCGGCCCTACCATGATTTTCCTTCCGGCCCAAACTCTGACTGCCTTCTGGCCATAACTATGATTACCTTCCGGCCATAACTCTAATTGCCTTCCGGCCTTAACCTTGTTTACCTTCCGGTCCTAAACATATGACATATACATATCACATAAATTCACATAACTCATATCAATACATAAGACCTTCCGGTCACATATAAATTCCACTCTAAGTAACGTATAGTGAGAAGACTCACCTCGAACTATCTCGGAATAATCTCATACTCAAATCTCCGGTCTAGCCACCACCACCCTACCCATCTCCCTTATTCCTAAGTTCATCATTGCCGGTAGGTTTGAGCCAAATTGGTTACTAACCATGGAAGATGAATTTCATGCTTTACAGATGAATAAAACATGGGAACTCGTTCCACGACCAACAAACAACCCTGTTATTCGGTGTATGTGGTTGTTTCGCCACAAGTTTAAAGCGGATGGATTGCTTAACCGCTATAAAGCTCACCTTGTGGTTAACAAGAAATGTCAGAAAATTGGTATTGATTGCCATAAGACCTTCAGTCCAGTTGTGAAAGCAACTACAATTAGAACCATTCTCCGTCTCGTTGTCTCGTAGGCATGGCCAATACATCAGCTAAACGTCAAGAACGCCTTTCTGCATGGCGATTTACATGAGATTGTTTTTGTGCACCAACTTCCAGGCTTTGTTGGCATCCAGTTTCCATCACATGTTTATCGTCTGCGAAAATCTCTTTATGGGATTAAACAAGCCTTGTGTACCTGGTATACTCATTTTTCCTTATTCATCACATCTCAGGGTTTCCGGAGTAGCATCTCTGATTCTTCATTATTTATTTATTCGCATGACCATCATACTGTGTATTTATTACGATATGTCGATGATATAATATTGGTTGCATCTCACCCTGGTGTTCTTTACAAGATTATCACTTCTTTGTAGTAGGAATTTGTTATGACCGATCTCTGTGATCTTCACCATTTTCTGGGTGTCATAGCCACTTGTGACAAACATGGTCTATTTTTGTTGCAAGCCTCTTATACTTGCGATATTCTTCAAAGATCCTCTATGGCATCCTATAAGCCGTGTGCACACCAGTGGATACATCCACAAAACTTAGCGCCACTGACGGTGAACCATTTGCTGATGGTACTATCTATCACACTCTAGCTGGAGCTCTCAAATATCTGACTTTACACACCCTTACATTGCACATGTTGTTCAACAAGTCTTCCTGTTCATGCATGCTCCTCGTGAGCCACATTTTATTTCACAAAAAAAATTTTATGCTATCTAGAGGGCACCATAGATTACGGTCTCCAACTTGTTGCATCTTCGTCGCACACGCTAACAGCCTATTCTGATGCTGACTGGGGATGATGTCTTGACTCTTGTCGATCCACTTCTGATTGCTGCGTTTTTCTTGGCAACAATCTTGTATCCTGGTCTGCAAAGCATCAACCAACTATCTCTCGTTCAAGTGCAGAGGTTGAATACCATTGTGTTCCTAATGCTGTTTCTGAGACAACTTGGTTAAGAAATCTCCTACTTGAGCTTCATGTTACGCTTCGCAAGGCCACCATTGTTTATTGTGACAATGTGTCTGCACTTTATTTGTCACATAATCCAGTCCAACACCAACGTACAAAACATGTAGAGATTGACATACATTTTGCGCGTGAAAAGGTTCGTATTGGTCATATTCGCGTTCTACACATTCCGTTCTCCATGCAATATGCATATATCTTCACTAAAGGGTTGACATGCTACTTGTATCAACAATTTCGATCCAATTTGAGTGTTCGTCCTTTCCCAGCTCAAATTGTGGGGGAATATTAGCCGATTATATTTGTAGATTGTACGTATGTTAAGGAGGTATACTTATGTCAATATTTGATTGTATATTTGGTATTTATCTCCAAAAGATGTGGTGGTTTTGCATTGTATTGGTCCCTATATATAGGGCGTGGATTATCAATAAATAGAGAGTAATTCATGATACCATAATCACTTTTAGTTAATTTATATCTAGAAACAAATTGTTGTTTTTAATACTAATTGTTTGATCTTTTTTATCTAATAGGTTGATTCTCATGTATGGAGTAATTTTTTTCTTTGTTTGTTTCCTTTCAAGTTACAATAAAAACAGATACATTGTGTTTAGATTATAACAAATTACAATAGTTTAGAGTTGTAACTTTTTTCAACTATGGGTATGTTTGGCAAAAGTAGTTGTTAGCTGGAAGCAGGTAGCGATTAGCTGGTAGCTGGTAGTGGGAAGCTGTAACTTTTATTTGTTATATGAATGTTTGGCAAAAGTAGCTGAAAGCTTTTGAAATATATAAAATCACATAAAAGGACAACTGATTAAAAATAAATAAATATATAAATATATTTTTAAGGGTAGTTATGGAAATTGATTTCAAAAGCTCAGGAGCGTTTTGTTAAACCCTACATGAAGTAGCTTTTAGAATCGGAGTATTTTGTTAAAACTAAAAGCTAAACGCTTGTGCTGCCAAACGAAGCTTTTTGTTTAAACTAGAGCGTTTTATCAAGGGTTTATGTCATTTTTTGTTACTTAACTTTTGGTTTTGTACTCATTTGGTCACTTAACTATTTTGAAGTTTTAAAAGGTCATCAAACTTTTGATTTTGTGATCATTTAGTCACTTAACTTTTGGTTTGGTCACATTTAGTTACCTAACTTTTAGATTTGTACTCATTTAGTCACCTAACTTTTAAAATTGTGCTCATTTAGTCACTAAACTTTAAAAAAAAAAATTAAAAGTTTAGTGACTAAATGAACACAATTTTAAAAGTTAGGTGACTAAATGTGACAAAACAAAAATTGAGTGACTAAATGAGCACAAAGTCAAAAGTTCGATGGCCCTTTAAAACTTAAAAAGAGTTAACTGACCAAATAAACACAAAACCAAAAGTTAAGTGACCAAAAATGACCTAAACTCTTTTATCAAAAACTAAAAGCTAGAAGCTCTCAAACGCTTCCAAAAGCTCCGTGCTAAACACGTCCTATAAAAGCATCAATTCGCTACTATTTCGAGGACTATAGAGGTGATGAAGTTCTTAGAAAAAACTTGTAGGCCATTAATGCACAGACATCTTTGAAAGAATCAAATATTTATTAATCTTTCAATACTTTTCTTCATCTGTGTAGATGACCAAATATTTATTAATCTTTCAATACTTGTAGGCCATTAATGTACAGACATCTTTGAAAGAATCAAATATTTATTAATCTTTCAATACTTTTCTTCATCTGTGTAGATGACCAACCTGTGATGTTGTGTTGTTTCGTTGTTTCTCTATACAACCATAAAACCTAAATTTTAGTTTAGATTTTATTCGCCCATGTATCCTTTCTTTAACAAAGATTCACCAATGATTTCTTGTGCATCATGTGACAAAAGTCTCATCTCCTTCATCTTGTAACTTGACTAAAAACAAACATCGTGTTAGCCACTCATACTTTTTGGACATCCTTATTTTTTCCCTAAAAAGATGTACGCATATACTGTACTAATTGATTATAACGATGTTAAAACTTACTTGGATTTTCCAGGCTTCCCCAAGTTGGAATGCAATCTCAGCAATTTTAGGTCGTTCTTCCCGATTTTTATGCAAGCATTGATATGCAATAGCTGAGAACTTACTTAATGTTCTTGGGTTAATTTCTGTCTTTATTCTATGATCAATAATCTTATCAAGATCACCATTTTTGTATCGCATTCGAGCCCAATGATGGAGGAATCTCCGTTCATCATGGTAACTAAAAGTACATGCTAGCCTTCCACACAAAACTTCAAACAAAACCACTCCAAATGAATAAACGTCTGACTCTTTTGTTAAAAACCCTGTTTTTTCATACTGTGGGTCACAATAACCATATGTGCCAGCAATGTTGGTGATCACAAAGGTGTTATGTTGATTTGCTAAGCCTATCCTCGCCAACCCAAAATCCGAAAGTTTTGCATTCCAATTTTCATCCAACAAAACATTCACGCTTTTTACATCGCGATGTATTATTCTGTGTTTTTCGGCCACGTGGTTATGAAGATAATCTAATGCAGATGCAACACCAATACATATTTTGAGGAGCTGAGGCCATGATAATCCACCCCACACTGTATTGCCGCATAAATATGTATCAAGGCTTCCATGGCTTGCATATTCATAAACAAGGATCATTTCCTCGTTATCATCACAAAACCCTATAAGTGTTATAATGTTTTTGTGTTTATACTCTGAGAGCATTGTGACCTCTGTGCGGAACTCCTTGCTGCCTTGAAATCCGGAGACATCTAGCCATTTTACAGCAACTAGTTGGTTTACATGATCTGCCCAGGTGAGGATTCCCTTCTAGACCCTTCCGTAACCACCCTTCGCGATGAAATTTTTTTGGTTGAAGTCTTGGGTACAATCTTTTATTACATGGAGGGGTATTTTGAGGTGGTTTACCTGTTTCATTGGAACATAATAATGTAGAACAATTGATTAATATTCAACTCTTGATATGAATTCCTAGATTTTTCAAAGAAAATCTGACTTGATGGGATAAAAACTGAAAGTATAGTTGTAATTTAATATATTTTTTAAATTACAACTTTTTAATAATTAAAAAAAAATGAAAGTTCATTGTTGTAGTAGAAGAAAATACAAAAGGAAATCTATAATACAAAAATAAATAATTTCTTGCATTTAGTCATTTAGTGATTTGTGAAATAATAAAAATAACATTTGTATGATGTCAGGAAAGTGAATCCTACTTTTATACTTGGTGGTGGGCATTTTACTCACAACCTCACTTGGTGAAAATATAAACATGGTTATATACAACAATACATATAGGTCAATTCTCTACACAAAATCATTTGCTTTGTGGTATGCGTATTTTTACTTAGTGACAAAGACAAGAATTTTATCTATAATTGTTCATCCAGGGTATGCTTCAATAAGGATCCCCAAGTGTTTGTGGGAATGTCCCAAATAGTGAAAGAGATTGTGTCAAATAAGATTATTGACCTGATTGCTGTGTGGCGTAGCAGAGTCTTTGTTGAGCTTGGGGAGGTTAGTGGCAGCCTTGTTCGGCTTGGGGAATCCATATTTGAGGTTCCGGAGCTTAAAGTCAACCTTGGGGCGCTCAAAATCATCTTTGAGGTTGGGGACCTCAACCAAAACCTTGGGGCGCTCAAAATCATCTTTGAGGTTGGGGACCTCAACCAAAACCTTGGGGCGCTCAAAATCATCTTTGAGGTTGGGGACCTCAACCAAAACCCTGGGGAACCTAACCGAAACCTTGGGGGCCTGAAAATCATCTTTGAGGTTGGGGAGCTTAACCAAAACCTTGGGGTGCTCATACTCATCTTTGTAAGCAAAATCAACTTTCTTCAAATGAAACTTTTCATCATCACGGGTGCACTGCAGTGTCGACCGACCCATTTGAAATTTATAATTATGGATCCCTAAAAAAACCATAAATAATCAATAATGAGTCCTGAAACAACAAAAACAGGTGAAAGGAATAATTACGGAAAAAGTACTAAGGTGAAGAAACAATTAATAGAATGAAGGCAATTTAGACTACAAATGTAGTCAGTAAAACACGAAGTTTCACCGCTTGATGTTGTAAATATATCTTAAGAAAGATCACGAGCAAACTAAGAATAAAAAGAACGCACTTGTTTTTGTAGTAATGAAATCCAAATAGACTGGGTTGAAAAGGATGAATGACCAATCAATTTCCTATTTATCCGGGTGAACTAATGATATTGGGAGGAAGAAATAGCCTTCAGTTTATATCCATCTACGAGAAAATACAGAGTAATATATGCTTTGTTGCAATGAGGAAGGCACCTGATACTTGCTAATTGATTGGTTTGCTGGATATCCCACTCTCAACGGCTCAAATATTTATTCATTCAATAATAATTCATTACTAAGAGATAAGTATCTGTAGGGATGTTATTCGGGTCGGAACCGAACCGAACCGAATAAACCGAAAACCGAATAAGGCTAATTGTATGAATCGAAAACCGAATCAAATAAGCAATACGGGTTCGGTTCGGTTCGGGTATTATTCGATTCGGTTCGATTCCGACCCGAATAACCCAAATAACCTGTGCAAGATGATTAAGGAGTCGAATAACCCGAATATTTTGTAGTCGAATAACCCGAATAACCCTAATAGCCCGAATAACCCGAATAACCCAAATATTTTGTATTACTTTTAACTCTTATGATTTCATAAATATATAACCCGAATAACCCGAATATTTTGTAGTTGAATAACCCGAATATATTACGATTTTGGTGTAACTGGCGATCAAACAAATTAAATGTCGACAACAAGAAGTAGAAGTCGGCACTTGGCAGCAAGAAGTAGAATGTTCTTCGATTCGGCAGTAAGAAATTTTCAATGTTCTTCGATTCGGTGTAATTGTGTTCGTCGGTTCGATTTGGTGTAATTGTGTTTGGTTTACCCGCTATTAGGATTAGGGAATCGAACGGGAGAATCGTTGAGACGTCGACTGTGAGAGGGAGTCGTATAGGATAATCGATTCACGGCTCATGCAATTGAAAATAGACGCTTCATATTCGGTTCGGTTTTTTGGACCGAATAAGTCCTTATTCGGGTAACCCGGACCGAATAACCCGAAAACCGAATAAGCCATATACAGATACCCGAAAACCGAATCGAATTGCTTATTCGGGTCTTATTCGGTTCGGTTCGGTTCGGTTCTCGATTCGGTTCGGGTTTTCAGCCCAATTTCTCATCCCTAATGTGAATTATAGAATTCCCCTTTCCTTGAGTAAAAATAACAAAGCTTCAGTTGGTATTTGTAGAAACTAATCCAAAAGTCAAAATTAGATAAAATAAATAACAAACCTTCCTCAACTCTGTCGATTTTTGGTGTTCCCTATCTCGATGATCACTCCAAACCATGAATTTCTTCAAAAAGAAAAACGAAATGAAATTAATACAAACAGGTGGAAGAGACGAATAGAGAAAAAAAAAAAAAAAAAGTTGAAGCTGATACAGAAAAAAAGGCGTTCAAGTGGTCTTCAATGAAGTGGGTGAAGATGCATCTGATGAAAGGATTGAGGGTGTCGCTAGATATCAAACCCATCAAACAAACTATTTAAGAATGGAAACAATAAGCAATATACTAACAATAAGAAAAATCAAAGCTAGGGTTTGCAGATTTTGTTCCGGAATACAAGGAGGAAGTCGCCGGTTGCAGCAGAAGGCCGCTGGTATCTGTTGTGTCTTCGTTGTCTGCCTTTGGGTGAGAGATGAGATAACGAAATAATATAAGGGAAAGGAATCACGCGGGGGAATGAAAAAATCGAATGGGAAAGCCATCGCCCGAGAACGAAATGTAAGGAGGGAACTGAGGTGGCGTTTGGAAATGAAAAAATTGAATGTTTAATGATGCGATTCTGATATAAACGCACCAACAAATGCAATTATTAATACAATGGACGACGGTGAGTGGAAACCTTCGTCCAAATGGTAGCCGTAAAAAATGAGGGGGTGTTTAGATAGGGATAGAAAATAAGTTGTTTATTACTTATTCCACCGCAATAAATAAATTTAAGTGTTTGGATAAGAATCTTTAAAAATCAGTTTATTGCGGTAGGAATAAAACAAATAAGTTGATTTTAATAAGCAATGGGGGAATACTTATTGCTTATTGCTCATTTTACTCATATAAGTTGTTTTGTTTGCCAAACACTTAAAATGTTTATTGCTTATTGCTTAGATGTCTAGATGTTTTAAAAAGTTATATCATATATCAAAATTCAAATCCAAAAATTTCATTTTTAATTAATTAACTCATAAAACATTCACTAGAAAATATTGTATAAACACGTAATCTCATAAAATCAAGTATCATGTTTGAAACCCACAACATAAACAACATCATATCAGAGTACAATCCCAGAAAACACCGTGCGGAAAAGCAGATGTGTGTGTGATGCCATGCTACGCCGCTGGCTCTTTCCCCTTAGACGAAGAGGTACCTGAAACCAAAAACTGAAACCGTAAGAACAAAGCTTACTGAGTTCCCCCATCATACCACATACCATACAATACCATCGGTATCTTTCAACCGGTAATCATCATCGGTATCTTTCAACCGGTAACTGGGGACTATTCCACCCCTTACCAGTAGCATACAATAACAATATATAAGCATACAGTCAGGCCTATCTGGGTACTGACCTACCCCTTGGTCCTAAGGACCACTATCAGGGAAACTATCATGCACGTAACATATCATACATATATAACTCATAACCAAACACATACCAAACCAAGATAATTATCACAAAGACCATCATCTCCTAAATACTCCTCATTGGTGGACCGACATTGTGGCCTTAGACCCACCCCTACTGGAAGGTAACTCACCTCGTACAGGTAGCTGCTGATAATTAGTGCGGGAAACCTCCGTCCGCTGCTGCTCCGGAAATCCTCCGGCTACAAAGCCCATAAACACTCGGTTAGAAACTGATTTCGATACTCTTAGGGTAAAATGACCATTTTACCCCCAACCAAAGCAAGGTCAAAGTCAAAGTCAAAGTCAAAGTCAACTTCCAGTTGACCCAACTCACCGAGTTGGTACAACAACTCGCCGAGTCCCTCACTCTCTACTCGTCCTCATCCGTGACCTTACTCGTCGAGTTGGGTCATCAAATCGACGAGTTCTTCTCTCAGTCGAACGCCCCATGAAAACTCATCTGACTCGCCGAGTTGATGAACAACTTGTCGAGTTGGCCTTCATCTGATGAACCAGATCTGTCCTCAACTCGCCGAGTTCTAAGGAGATTGCCTTGGACTCGCCGAGTCCAAGAATGCACTCGTTGAGTCCAGTCTTGACCAATTCCATACAGTTGATCTAAATGAGATCTAACACACCAAATACATAGATCTAGCCTCCTAATGTCCACTTCATACGTAAAGTTCCAAACTTGATGCACATGCATGGGGTTTTTAGATCAAAAATCCACATAAAGTGTCCTACAATGCGCATGGGGATTTCATGGCCCTAAAGTTGGCACCTTTATGCCATGAAACCCCTCTTAAGGCCCAGATCTAAAGTCAAAACCCATCCCACACTCCCAATAACGAAATATGACTTAGCAATCCAAAGAAATCCCAAGTTAAAGATGAATAAACACATAGATGAGTCAAGACAGGGGCATTATACCTTGAAGTTGCTGAAAATGAAGAAACTCCCTGGATCTACTGTCCCCAACTCAAGTTTCAAGCTCCTTTCTTCCTTCCAAGTTTTACTATCACACAAGAACACCAAAAATGGCCTCAACAAAGCACAAACGGCTAGGGTTTCGATGAGAAGTGTTTGGGAGCATAAAGGGGGAATGGAGGTTGCATAAGGTTGTTTAAATAGGGTGCAAACCCCTAGATTAGAGTTTTAGTCTAGACAGCAGCTACTCGCCGAGTCCGGGACCCGACTCGGCGAGTCCATGACTTAAACTCTGCGCCTCATCCCGCTTCTACTCGGCGAGTTGGTCCTTCAACTCACCGAGTCCAAGACCAAAATTGCAAAATAAATAAAGATTTAATAACAGAAAATGTACCAAGAACCAGGTGCTACAAATCTCTCCCACTTATTTTAGACTTCGTCCTCGAAGTCTGCTGCTCGATCCTGGAACAACTCTGGGTAATGCTCCATCATCTCATCCATCGGCTCCCATGTCCATTCCGAGCCCTTCCTGTGCTGCCATTGCACCTTTACCAACTCAACCCTCTTGTTCCTCAGATCCTTCGACTTCCGGTCGAGGATCGCTACAGGTCGCTCGATGTAATTCAGGCTATCATCAACCTGAATGTCCTCCAAGGGTACCACCGCTTAGTCGTCCACTAGGCACTTCCGCAGCTGGGAGACGTGGAAAATGTTGTGGATCTGACTGAGTTCGGCTGGCAGATCCAGCCAGTATGCCACCTTGCCCACCTGGGCTACAACCCTAAACGGTCCAATATACCTGGGACCCAACTTGCCTTGTTTCCTGAATCGGATGACGCCCTTCCAAGGTGACACCTTCAGGAAAACCGTATCGCCGGCCTGGAACTTCAGGTCTGATCGACGTCTATCGGCATAACTTTTCTGCCGACTCTGAGCAGTCTAAAGTCTGCCCCGGACCTGCTGAATCCTCTCTGTCGTCTTGAGCACTACTTCGGTGCTCCCTATGACCCTCTGGCCAACCTCGCCCCAACATATCGGGGTCTTGCACCTCCTCCCATACAACATCTCGAAAGGAGGACAGACGATACTCGCATGATAGCTATTATTATACGAGAACTCCGCCAACTGAAGGGAGGTATCCCAGCTACCTCCGAAGTCTAAAACACATGCTCGCAGCATGTCCTCCAGAGTCTGGATGGTCCGCTCGCTCTGGCCATCCGTCTGCGG